TTTGACTTCGGCCTGAACCTCTTACTTGGCTTCGCCTTCAGGGTGGTAACGGTACTAGCTCCCGCGGCAGACCCCGCCGCCGCCGCCGCCGCCGCCGCCGCCGCCGTCGTCGTGGACGTGGTTTTGCTAGAAGCAGCAGGCGTCGGCTTAGCGCGGCCACCGCCGGCGCCACCGCTGGCGCCGCCTTTCGGGGGTGTCGGCTGGTTTCGCGGCCTGCCGAGCGTGCGGCAGGAGGCGTAGAGGCACTCCGAGCCGGCGCGAATGCAACGGTGGCATGGCTCGTGCCCATCGCATCGCTCCTTCTTGGTCGAGCACCGGTTGCAGCTCCTCCGTCTTCCACCGGATCGCGCCTGGTGGTGGGGGGGGGTTACATCTGTTGAGCTGCATTCTCCAGAGATCGACCATTGTCAAGCTACGGTTTTGGATGAATAGGAATAGGACGCAAGCGAGAGAACAGAGAGATGTCGGCACACAAGCACATGCGAAATGCACCGATCCGGTATTGTACGTCGTGCCCCCTACATGTACGCGGAGCGATTGAAATCCCTATCAATAAACTGGATTTGGAAAGTTTCCTGTACAGTAGCCGTGCGATCTGGAGACCACGAGAGTGTGCCGGCAAGAGGACGGGTGTTGTCGTCGTGGGCTGCGGCTTCTTCCTTTCGTGTCACTGAACCCCTCCGCTGTTTCTTTTTCTGTCGCTATGTGTTCTTAGAAACGGCGACCGACAGCGAAGATCGAAGGAGCGACGGAGGCGCAGTCATCAACGAAGGCAGCCCAAGGCCGCCCGACCGACCTAACCCCAACGTAACCCGACCCAACGGCGAGGCGATGGCGGAGCAATCGACGACAGCGGAACAATTCTTAACATAATCCCGGCTACAGCAGTACCTCTTGGTGTTCCCCCGGGGGGACCGTTCTACGCAAAAATAACCGCTTCCCTCCCGTGGGTATTCCGAACATTACACCGTGCAAAGTACGGCTGCAGGGGGGGGGGGGGGGGTGGCCGGTAAACGCCCTGAGCGGATTAGAAAAAATTCTTGGAATCTCCACTGTTGTGTAATGCTTCCGATTTGACGAGCTGAGAGACAAAAACGTTTGTAGCAGTCGTTACGCATGTATCACGCAAGCTGCATGATGCGGGGCGTGCCGTGTGTGTTCCAGTTGGTCCGGCATATCCGCGGATTGCCGGGCGGTTACCCGGGGGGAAATTGGCGAGAAAAAAAGTCTCATATTCCATATATCACGGACCAAAATATATTTAGGAACTCCACGGCTGTCGCTGCTTGAAGCTCGAATTGGCAACCACGGCTAGTTGTCCGGGTTTGAGTTGTTCGAATTTGAGTTGTTCGAAATTGTAAACGTTGGTGGACCGATGGCTGTGCGCGGACGTCTGCTGATGATCTGAGGATCAAAGGTTGTATCTTCTGTTGGAGCGTAATGCCTGTGCATCGACACAGCAGCTCTAAGACTGAGTGCTGCTGTTTGTCGGAAGAGTCGGAGAAGTTGTGAACGGGAGGACGGTAGAGCGTGGCGCATCGACATAGATAAGCTTCTCGACACCCGTCATTGCTAGGTCACGGCAGAAAAACCTCGCCCGCCAACTGCTACCTGATCACACTACGTGCAGGCAGGGGGTGGTCGGTCAGTTCGTCCACCTCACAAGGGCGATTATGAACCGACGGTTCCTAGATGCATGCACACCGAGTTGTTGCGAAAGCTGTTTGATAAGAGGGAGTTGAGGGAGGCAGCTGTCGACGCGGATAGGATGAACAAAAAATGATCGCAACGGCAGAACCAAAGAGTGGCGGAAGAAGGGATTGGCTCTTCTCCTTGCTCCATGTGTATCGTCCTGTCTTCGGGTACGACGACCTTGGTGGTGTTGGCATCGTGAGTCACATCACAGCGCTGGCTGGTGGTGGCGTCCGTGAGATATGCATCAACACAACCAAGATATCTACAACCTACTATATGGCGAGCAACGGTACTGGTGCTTGAGGACAGCTCTGGTTGCAACCACTTGTCACCAGAGCAGGATCGCACGAAGGCATGTATTTATTCGCTGGTAGCGGACGGCAGTGCGGCAGCCGCCCACTGACTCACTACTGGAACTCGCGCAGGATGACCCGATGCCTCTCGCTACCGCCATCATCGCGATCGCAAAAAAAAAAAAAGACGAAACATATGATGAGTCAACCTGCATCTTGGGGGATTCCACCAGTAATCAAAAGCATGCGCTACCTTCAGTGTCGCCGTGGAAGACGAGGCGGCAGCGGCAGCTGTCCCGGCGCTATTCTCCTCCATGGTGGAAGACGAGGAAGGCCTGTGGCAGCGAGATCAGCAGCAAGAGAGCCGGGCGGGGGGCTCCGCGGATTCGAGGAACCTATGTGGATCCGATCGCGCCGCTGCGCTGGCTTTCTCTCTGTGGGGTGGTTTGCTGGCTGTGTCAGGTGTGGGTGGCTAGCGGTCGGAGTGTCGGAGTGTCTCGCTCGTTCTCGGTCGGGTTGTTGGTGCAGAAGGAACAACATGAGCAAAGCCAGGTCTCTCGAAGATGCAGAAGACATGCTTGCCGAGGTACGGTACTACTACGGCACAGCACAGCAGTGCACTACTCGTCAAGCAAGCGCAGACCAACATGGAGTTATCTCGAGACTAATGTGGACTATAGGTGTTGTTTATCCAAGTTGATTTGGAAGTAGTAAAGCAGACAGGCACTTCAACCAACCGCAGAAGCTAAGATAATCAATCGTTAGCTACACGAACTCGAGAGCACGTTCATCGACGGGGTTCCATTTCCTATCCCATTCGTGGAAGGTGGGGCGCATCTTTTTCTCTTCTGCTACTGGAAACAATTCGAAATCCGTGATCTCCGTGATGGTAACCAACTGCTGTAGATACCGATATGCAGTGCTATGCATACAATCCGGTAGATGCTCGTGCAGTTACCGTTTACGACACAAGATAACACACCCCCTGGACCGATTTTCAAAGCTCGATTTCTCCAAGACGAAGATGCACAAACGAAATGATCCGTTTTCGGAGAGCTCTCCACTATTAGATAGACGGCTTCAACGCTGCCATTTTCGGCGCTGCGACTCTTTCTGCTAGTGACAGAAATCGAGCTTTGAATATCGGTCGGTCCGGGGGGGGGCGTACTCTTAGGTTTTGCATGCCTTAGCGGTTAGACCATTGACCACGCGTCCTCGAGAGGACGGTCAAGGGGGGGTGTTATCTTGTGTAGTATTCAGCACCCGTGATGTTTCGCCCTCTCCATGGAGCTTCTAGCTGCTGCTGCTGCTGCTGTTGCTGCTGCTGCTGCTTTGGTAATGTGGTTGTTGTAGTTGTTGTCTTCACGGTAAAAAAACACCGTTCCGTTCTCTCTGCCCAGTACCTTCTTCTGTCCGTACTAATAGTCTAACACTTGACGGGGTCGATTCCCGTGGTCACAGGCTAACTTGCCCAAAAAGGAATACGAAAATAAAAATACAATGGACCCGAAGGGTCCGCAAGCCAATAGAAATTAACGACAGATAGTCTATGCCACTCCGCTCACCTCTACACGCTATGCGAGGTAACCCTAGATTAGAAAAGGAAAGAAAAAGAAAAAGAAAAAGAAAAGAGCACATGGAGAGAAGGGAGAGAGAAGGAGAAAGACACAGACAGAGAAAGAAAAGCGGGTCACCCGAGCCAGCAAATGCACGTCATCGCTCGCGGGGGGTTGGTGCAATGGTGCAGTGCCAGGGGGTAGTCGTGCATGCCGTAGTCGTTAGACCATTGACCTCGCATCCCTACAAAGCCGGGACGGAGCACGCCGGGTTCTCACCGGACCAGGCTCTCACATCACCAAGCGCGAAGCGCCGTGAGGTATTTGGCGAGTCGCATGAAGGGTGAGCTGCATCCTGCTAAGGGTGTTCGGCATCTTGTGCTTACTTCCTTGCGTACGGATGACAGCTACGTATGACTTAATTTATTTTTCTGGTGCTTTCACTTCCAGAGACAGTTGTAAGCACTGTGTAACTGCCTCGAGGATGCTTGACCATTTTAACACAACGTTGTGCGATCATCCCCCGTTGCGCGGAGTGAGGGTTCTCCACCCCGCACAACATGATCTACTCGACCACCATTATGGTTACCGCCAAAAAAAAAAACGAGGTAAAAAAAAAAATCCGGTAACCTGGTTGCCAAGTTCACGAAGTGAATTGGCTTCTTTTACAGCGTCGTTGCCAAGCGACGAAAACCCAACCCCGATGGCAAACACCGGGGGGGGGGGGACCAGGCTCTCACATCTCCAAGCGCGAAGCGCTGTGAGGTATTCGGCGAATCGCATGAAAGGGTGCGCTGCATCCTGCTAAGGGTGTTCGGCATCTTGTGTTTACTTCCTGGCATACGGACGACAGCTACGAATGACTTAATTTTGTTTTCTGGTGCTTTCACTTCCAGAAAACGTTATGAGCACTGTATAACGGCCTCGAGGGTGCTTGACCAATTTAACACAACGTGGTGCGATTTTCCGCTTTGCGCGGAGTGAGGGTTCTCGAACCCGCACAACATAATCTGCTCGACCACCATTCATGGTTACCGCAAAAAAAAAAAAAGGCGAAAAAAGAAAGCGGTAACCTGGTTGCCAAGCTCACGATGTGATCAGCTTGTTTTACAACATCGCTGCCAAACGACGAAAACCCAACCCCGATGGCAACCACCGCGGGGGGGGGGGAAGGCGGGGCAATACGCGTAGTGCGGCTGATTGTCCCTTTATACGAGAATAGTATCGTAGCACCGTGTGATACCCTCTACCCCTCCTTCCCGCACAACTAAAAGGGAATATTTCGCAGTTTGATTGGAGGCGTCACCGACATGATCGCCACCACCGACCGCCTCGCGCGAACACAAGACGATCTGTTGGCAACCAGCCGGGGGCTTCTGGAAGGTGAGCTGCGGCGATAAATCATAGGTTGAACCTTGGTGAAGCCTTTTATTTTTTGCGTTCGGTACCTTGTATCGTTTTTGAGCTCTCCCTCGTACTTGACGGTCATCCCAACCGCAGTTCCCCCGTCGGTGCGGGCAGATTTAGAGAGTGCTATGTATCGTGACCCAATCACAAGCCTAGCCCGGGCCTCGTATATACACGTAGATTTTTTATCTATCCTAGTGTACGATAGTGACACGGAGGAACCTCGGAGACCCAGTGCTTTGTGCGAGATACTCAAAACATGGAGGTGGTCAATGGTTTTGCGTGAAATGGCGGTACCCCTTTTTACTCGCAGGTTAGACAGGAGCGGTCTCTTGTCCGCCGGTGGTGCGATGGGGTGGCCTTCTAGACGCCGTTCGTTTCCTCCTCCTGTTTCCGCGACTTTGTGCGTTTGTTCGTGAATGTGAATGTTGCCTGCCCGCATCGCCGGAGCTACTTGCACGTATCGCAGTCTACGTCGACGCCGAATTTCCTTCTGCTCGGGGAGGCAACACAACGAACACCTTTCTCTTTTGGCTTTAGCTGCCTGTTCGGCTCGTGCGCGTGTGTGTTTTCTTAGCTAGCATCGACAGCCCTAACTGGCCGACCAATGCAAAGACGTCTTGTAGCGGGATAAAAAACACCCCCACTTTCTAGTCAAAGGGTAAGCAAGGGTTGCGTGTTGTCTGTGCGCGCGCGTGTGTGTTTTGTTGTTTGTTTAGCACCGGCCGAGATAACCGGCTGACAGATGATAAACGCCTTGGGCTGGGGTTCAAAATTTTTGTGGTGATGGGCGCCTATCAGCACCGAGAGCAACACGAGCAGAAGCAGCAGCGACAACGATACTCCTATTAAACAAAACGCTTGCGACCCCTCACACCTACCTATCCTGCTCGGCTGCTGTCTTGCGCATCTATCTGTCGGTTTTCCCTCCTCGTCAAGCAGAGCTCCGACTACACGACACAGCCCGCCAGGCCGACGCTATCGAAGCAAGGGCGGACAAGGTACACGACATACATGCGGGGTTGCTTGCATTGACCCGTGTGCTCGGTTCGGTTGTCGACACCGGCACCCGATGGGGATAGGAACGATGCAAGCGACCACCTACGCGCGCCGACATGCGTACCTATCGGAGCGCGTGCACAAGCTAGTTCGTCGAGTCCATCTCAGCCGTTGGGGAGGGAGGCTTTTTAGTCGCTTCATCTATAGCCCATAATCATCTCGTTTCCGTCGCCAACACGTCCTGGAAAAAATAAGGAGGCGTTGCGGTCGTCGCTGAATCTGACCCGGTTCCATCCCCCCCCCCCCGGCCCCCCGCCCGGGGTCGATAAAGAGGCGGTGTCCTATCCTGTTTCAATCCCCCCCCCCCCCG